GGGGACGCTCGGCTCAGCAGCGATTCTGTCCAACAAGCTTCTTAAGCGCCCTGGATTATACCTGCCGGAGGCCCCGGAGCCAGCGCGCGCTGGAGTCAGCACCGCCGCTGTGTTTGTGCTGAGGTCTGGCCGGGCCGGGCCGGGCTGGAAAAATGAAGAGAAAGGCTGTGGCCTTCCCTGCGCTGCCTGAGGTTTGGGCTGGCAGGCCGACCGACGAGGCCGCGTCAAGCCGTCTAATGGCTAGCTAATATTGATTTTATTTGCGAGAAGTGTGCTGGAGCTGCGGGGTAACCCCGCATTAGACGCATCGGAAATAGCTGCACTTCTAGTCAGTGGCAGCTTGGCAGCTGTAGTGGGAGGGACTCTGCCGGCCAGAGAGCCGAAAAGAATATTCATACTTCCCTCTTTTCCACGCTGTTTACCTTATTTCATTGACTTTTATCGCTCGGCAGCCCTCTTCCGACAGTTTTCGGAATCGCGGGAGAGTGTGTACGAAAGGAGGGAAGGGAGAGAGAGGGAGCGGGTGAGGGGGCCTCAAAGCTTGCAGTAATCTGAAACAATATTGTTTCGACGGCCTTTGAGCTTTAATAAAATCAATCGTGTGGTAGATTCTTATATTTGCAACTTTTCATCAAAGCAAGGACCCGGGAGCCGTCGGGGGTTCGGGGGCTGCTGCCGGGGCCGCTCCCCTCCTGCTCCACACCCTCCGCCTCGTGGCGCAGCGGGGCGCGGGGCGCGCGAGATGCACAAAAGTGAAAACGGGGGTGATCAAGGCGCCGAGGTGCCTGAATATTTCATGGCGCCTCGCAGAGAGGCCTGCTCACCTGCTTATCGGCGTGCATCGTGCGGCCGCCGCTGCGGGCCGTCCGTCCCGCCCCGCCCCGCTCCGCCTCCACCAAGGCCCCCACGACCCTAACGCCCCTGCGAGCTGGAGGGACAGTTAACTGCTGATGGGCATCAGGCCCGGACACAAGGCGGCGCGCCGGGGCCGCGCCGGAGGTGGGGCGCCTTTTGTTGTGCGACGCCTCGTCCTCGTCACAGGT